CTTTGTACGTGCTATTCACTCCATTCATCACCAATATGCACACACATGGACAGCCATACAGATCCCTCTGGACCTACCGTAACCCCAACCAGCCTCCAAGGTCAAGCTCAAAACCTATCTCAAGTTCTACCTCTGTGAAATCTTCCTCAATTTCCCCTATGTGTCGATGTCTAATAAATCAGCCCTACTATTGTAAGGAATGCCCTGCCTCCCCTCTCCCAGGACGCTTGTCCTGATCATTGAACTATGACAACCTTAATTCAGTCCTCTCCTAGCATCTCTGACATTGCCACCACAAAGAAGGCAAGGCTCACTGTTCCCTTCATATTCAGATGCTCAGTTGGGGCCACTTAATTTAGCTTAGGTTGCCACTAAAGTTAGGGGGAGATGTAGAGGTGTGGAATAGAAAATGAATAGAATGCCAACCAGACCAAGTCGCTGGAAGAGTCAGTCAAAAGGCAAACATATGAACACCAGTGATGGACTGGCAGAAGTGTAAAGTTTTCTAGACCCTACACATCTATGGAACAAATACTATCGTCAAGAGGTCTCTGCTGAAAGTATGAGGAATCTCAGAGGACTGAGGAACTGAGGTTCATCCTGGTGGTGTTGAAATTAGGCCGCTGACAGCCCTGGACTGAATACTATTTTATTTCCATAAGAACGGACAAAAATAAACTCGTGATACACATCAAGTGAAAAATACTCAGCATGGGTTGCACACAGCTGGATGGTCCTCTGTTCTTTGAAGGAACTGCCTGTATCATTTCTGTGTAACTGCACAGGCATATCCAGAACACAAGTGGTGAGTTCCCAGCATTCCCTGCAGTTCTTGCACAAGCGACCTGAGCTTACTATCTACTCCATAATAAATAAAACTAATTACACCCACAGTGTTCACTGCACAGGATATAAAACAAAACGGGCACAGTCACAAATGTATAATAATAATTTTTCAGCTGGTTGATAAAGCTAACCACTAAAATAAGCTAAAGCCAAATCTCGTCATTCATACGGGTTCCATTAAACTTTTCCAGAGGGCTCCTAGTTTTGAGTCAATGGGAGCCTCAGATAGCCTTAGATGACAGTCAAGAGCAACATCTAAAGCAAATGGCCCTTTAAGGCAATGACACTCCACACATTAGTATTGTTCCTTTAAAAGCTTATTGACTTAGGATGGAGACACTTAATACTTGTCATTGATTCTTCCGTTTGCATGTGATTATTTACTTGCCAAACAATTCTAATAACAAATTGCACCAAAATGCAAGGCTATCTGCACCAGCAGGTTTGTATCCTAAGTAAGAATAAACAACAACATCCATGGGTTTATCTTTATGCCTGTCATCCTGCATAAAGCTACGTTTATTAACACATTCATGTCTGATGCCATTTGATGTAAATAGGTCTTTTACTGTTTATAAATGCAGTTCCCAGAAAATTCTTCTAAGCAAAACTGCAGAACACATTAGTCCTTTTTTTGTTGCTAGAACGTTAATAAATTCTGCAACATTACATTTTTAAGCAAACAAATTATGTGTTTAAATAAACAGCCTCAACTGAAAAGCTAGCCTCTTGCAATAAAGTTAGTTAGACTTGACGTCTCCTTATTATTGATAGAGCAATGCTAAGATTCCAGGAAATGTTTCAAGGACAAGAAATAAGGAAAATTCTTTCACTGTGCATGCATGCGTACACATAGAAATAAACATGAGTGCATGTACACATTACACTGCAGTAATGGCTTGTGATTGTTCGATTCACTTGTATAATCTTATGTGCTTATTTGTATATCTTAGAATGCTGTCTATTTCCTGGTCATTTCTCAGTCGCCCCACCGAGCTGCACTTCGCTAACACATATGTCAGCCTCTGTCACTAGAGCCAGCGAAAGAGCTGGGAATGCTCACAGAAATACTGTGATTGCTCTTAGGACAAACCTTTTTGATAATAACTCTCAGAGTAATGCTTTCACTCCTAGAAGACGGCCACACTGCCTAGGGAGCCAGAACCCAATAGCTGGAACTCTTGGCGCCAGGAGCTGGTGCTGAACTCTAATGCGAAGTGCTTTTGAAAAGTGCATCAAGATTTAATAGGATGAATTATCAGACTTGTTCAGAGTTTTAGCCGCATAAATTCCATTAGGTTGTTATCTGCATCGTGCTCCACCCTGTCTATATTTATGTCCGCATATTCGTTGACACCCATCTAAGCTCTCTGTTGGGCCGTCTAACCTCTCATTTCCTCCCCTTTTATTTTTGGTCTCCACACTACCCTTGAAGCCTGTATATGCCCCTGACTCGAGGGCCCTAAGCTTCCCTCTACCTCTCTTTCAAATCCTTCCTTGAGACCCACATTTTAAAAGAAATAGTTTCTTCACTGATTTCCTATGCTAACTTTATAACATCTGACCCATTTTTCATGCAAGGCTCCACCGACGTCTATTTGCACCGTCACCAAAGGCTGCACGCACACAAGCTGCTCCTTGGATAATCACCTCCAGCGCTGATGACAGCTCAGACCCTCTAAAAATGCACCTCTCACTGTTGTACTGGAGCATCAAGCGAAAGCATGAAGTCATTTCTGAATCTGGGTCAGCCATTTTGTGAATGCACAAGAGAGGATTACCAGGGAGTGGATCTCACCGGGGCTGTGACCTGTCACTCCACTAGCAAGGTAGGGAAACAGGCTGGCAGACGGCTTTGTGGGGCAGTGCTATTTGCAGAGCAGTCCTGAGAGGGAACAACAGCTGATCCCAGGGAAAGAGAAGGGACGAGAATGACATCCCAGCCTCCCATGACAAACAACCCTCCTCCTTCACTGCGGGTGTCTTGGTTTTCAAGTATTAAATCCCCGCATTAAGTCATCCAGTTGAAATGAGGATTTCTCAATGACTGTGCAGTAGGAGAGCAAGGTAAGATACAGGCAGACAGAGTGCTAGGAAAGAAAGATAACTGAGGATGGATTTCCTATCAATCGTTTACTGTTGTTCATGTTATTTGATTAACATCATGGTTAGAAAATGTAATCATGTAACCATTTTTGACAGTCATTCATTCAACAAATATTTACTGAGTATCTGCTGTGTGCCAGGCATTTGCTAGGCGCTTGGGATACAGAAAAGAAAAAGGCATGGTCCTTGCCCTCAAGGAGCACACAGCCTAGTAGAGAAGACAGACATGTAAAGGAATAACTACCACACAACAAAATAGGTGCCAGTCAAGGTGTATACAAAGCACTAGAGAAGCCCAGAGGAAGCAGCTGGTAATTAAGCCTGGTGGAATCAGGCAAGCTTTCACAGAGAAAGGGACAACTAAGCAGACTTGAAGGAGAAACAGGACTTCACCAGGAAGCCAAGAGAGGGCAGGGAAAGACATTCTAGGTTGAGGGACAGCAGGCACAAAAGCAAGGAAGCGTGATAAAGCATGGCATGATGGGGACCCAACAGGCAGTTCCATGTGGCTGGGACTGAATCTGGGTATGAAGAAGTGGTGAAATATGAGGCCGGAAAGGGAGAATGAGATCAGAGAAGAAAGAGCATCATATGCTGGACTGAGACATTTGGACTTTCCCCTGGAAGCGGTAAGAAGGCACTGAAGACTTAAAAGCAGGGAGTGACATGGTCAGATCTGCCTGTATGGAGGATGGTTTGGAAGAGAGGTGGACTAGAGGGAGGGAGACCAGTGAGGAGGGGCTGTCACAGCAGTCCATCCGAGAGAGGCTCCCAGTTGGTTCTAAGGCAGTGAGGATGGAAAAGAAGTGACAGGCTTGAGAGATTCTTAGGAAGGAAGCTTGACAAGACTTGATGAATAACGATACACAAAGCAAAACTGCCTCCAAAATGAAACAATATTAAAAAAACATACGTTCAGGAAATACAACCAACAGCCCCAGTCTTCCCTTCCTTTGAGTTCCCATTGTCCTCTGAAACCACCGCATCTGCGAGTATGAATAAGGGGAGAAGAGCCAGAGGGCACACATGGTCAGACTTCTCTAATTCAGACACCGCTAACTTTGAATCTGCAAAAATTCAGATTCCTACTGAGCAAGAATTTCAACCTACTTTCTTCCTCTGTGTCTTTCCAAGCCTTTAGTCAACCAGTAACTGGAATCCAATCTAAAGGCAGTGGCTTCTTCCAGTCAAGCGCTTGAGGTGCAGTAGGCAGCCACTTACATGGTGGTATCTGAGGGGCAGACCCATACCTGTCCCCCACCCAGGGGCCACCAGGCCCGGAATCCAATCATTAGTGATTCATTCCTTCGGGAGAGGCTTTGATCCCTCTGGGCTTCTTTTACAAGGCAATGACTCCCGAGATGGGTAGGACATTTAGTCATTCTAAACCCAGTGGGAGTTTGGTTGATCGAAATGACTTTTGTTTTGACAGGAGGGGTCAGGGTAGTGTAAGAGGGCTACGTAGGTACCTGTGGAAGAAGGTGATGCAGAAGGGAAGTCTGAGCAGTACAGAAGATAGCATAACATCTTGCCAAGGGATAGCCCTGCAAGTACTCAAGAAACTAAGATTCTTAAGAACGCCTTCCACTTCTAGTTCCAGCAAATCACACTTGTATATTCTTGAACTTTAAGGAACTTCTGTGTTATATGTTTATGATATGCCACTGGCTAACGAAGGCCTATGATGACTCAATCTTTTCATGAACCTCATACTACTTATCACAAATCAGAACCTAAAAATGATAACAATTTGTACGTAACATTACTACAAATGCATTTTCTGAAACTTTTTTGTAACTCCAATTTTTCATTCACTCAGACTGACCTTGTCTTTGGTCATTCCACATTATTGAGATTTCACTGTATCTGCTGTGTATTAATCAGTCATGTCACAGTGACGGAGGATCGAGAATCAGACACTGACCTTGAAGAGGCTCATATATGGCTCACTAAGGTAAATAAGCTGCTTGCGAATACTTGATTAGAGTGGTTAAAGCAGTGAATTATTTCAAAAAAAGAAGCAAAACAAAACTTTAAACGTTACTTACTTCACTTGTTTGAAGAATCGTGAACTTTGGCAGTTTAGCCTTTGTACTGGCTGCACTGGGCTTTCCGTCCAAGAGTGATCCGAATGACAGATTTCCAAAGCTGTTCTCGAATTCGATTGAAGGCTTCAGTGTCGGCGAGATGTCTGGTGCCTGGTCCTGGCCATCCATGGGTCGTACATACGCGGTTGGCTTTTGCTGCCCCATGCTTGGTTTGCAGTAAAGCCCTGGTGGGAAGTTTTGAACCGAAAGGCCACTGCTGGGAGCTAATAAAGATGAGGCAACTAGGGGAGACCCAGGCGCTTGCACTGTAAATTCAGATTCTCCTGGAGAGTTGGACTGAAAGATTTCTTTGAAAGGTTCCTCTCCATTGGATTTGGGGTTACTGTCTTCCTTTGCGGATGGGTTTGAATCTTCAACTGCTCCAATCTGGGGCTGTTCAGCTGGGTACACAAAGAAATCTTCCAGTCTGGCTTGGGGCTGGTCCTGTGTAGAAGATTGCATCTTGCTTGGCTGATTACTTGCCTGGCTTGCTGGTACCGTGCTGGGGTTAGGACTATCTCGTGGCCAGTCGGGCTTAGATTTTCTGTTGCTGTGTATTAGAGTTGAATTCAGTATCACGACAGAAGGTGGAGGCATCGGTGCTGAGGGCTGGGTATTATCCTGGTGAGGGGGGATCATTCGGTTCTTTTGTTCTGGAAAAAAGCTTGGTTCGTTTTTGTTGATGGGAGTCTGGGGCACAGAATTCTTTGGGATTCCCACTAGATGGTTCTGATTAGAATGGTTAGTTAGCAAATCCTTCATTTCATCATAGTTTCCCAGCGTGTTCTGGACTCGGTTGGCAAGTGCATCACCTTTGTTTGTCTAAAATAACAAAAAGATGGGGGTGGGAGGAGAGACAATGAATAGGTTTGTGTTTCCTAATGTTAATGTTTCCAACAGATGCCCTAAGTAGGCTAGCATATAGCGTTCTTTAAAATTGTCATACCGTTATATAATTTCATACTACGGGCTCGGTAAGGGAAAAAGTATCAAAAACGCTATTGAAAGAGCCTCTTTGGAATGAGCTGGTATGATTAGTGTTCGCATACTCCCTGGCCTGTCCTTAAACATGCTCATTGGGAGAAAGTTTTAAATGATGTTGCTTATGAATTTTATTAGCGAAATAACTTATCTGATGTCAGATGAGCTGAACTGTTACATTCTACATGGTGATTAATAATGTCTGCCTACTGATCATTAGAATTATAATGGAATGTTCAACTTATACATATTCTTGATGCATCAGCCCTTGGAACGACATTATACCATGCAAAAGGCTTAGCCCATTGAATAAGAAAGTCAGTTAAATTGTACTATCATGGCTGCATTACATTTAGAAAAGGCATGGAATTAAACAACATCTAATTGAGCTAACTTATGACTAAAGCGAATCTAATTCCTTTTACTCAAAGAACCGTATAAATTATCGGTGTCTGCCTACATATTCTGGGGGCAATTGTGTTTGCCTATTGATGATTCATACTCATTTACTTTGAAATGGTGCAATTGGTCACCAACAGTGACCCAAGCTCTCTTGGGTCTTTTCAGTGGTTTAGAAAAATTTATTCAAGAATTTAAGCTGTTGCTTAAGTAAACAAAGACAAAGTCCTATTTTCAGAGTGATATTGGCCTAATGTGTAGATTTAGATACAACAAAATTATTCTATGTACGATCAACATTAACAGCTTCCCCATTCCCTGTAGGATATACTAATCCTGTTAAAATGGCTCTGATTGTTTTTAAAAGAACTGGGCTCCTGCCTGAGTTTTACAATATAGAAAGCACAGCTTTCGTAACTAAAAAACGGTGGGTAGCTGTATACTTGGAAATGACTTTGATGAAAGCTCAGTTTCATCTTCAGAAGTGAGTTTTGTTATTCACGTTACATGCCATAGATGTTAGCAAAACAGGTTGCTGAATTCAGAAGGGTAAAGGACTTCTTTGTGCCTCCGCTGCACTATCCTGACCCAAGATGTTGCAATGAAAGAAGGCTCCTGGCACCTAAGGAGCCATCTGGCAGCAGGGCCGGGGAAGACACTCACCTTAAGTGGCCTTCATGTCTAAGGAACCATAGGCACAGTCCCCATGCACAGGAGGAGGTAACCACCTCCCTACTTGGCTATTCTCCAAGGAAGACAGATGTGTAACATCTAATACTTCTCATAACCTAGTCTACATAGCCTAGTCTCCTGGTGTACACAGGAAGTATACCTATTCCAGTCTGGTACCTAAACTTGAGTTGTGTGGCGGTGTGCTGTTCTCTGCATAGGAAGATGGAAAAGTGATCAGTGTACAGATAGATGGAGGGTGAAGTGCTGGAAATGGATGGAATCACCCAGGGAAAGAAAATGTAGAATGAGAAGATCAAGCTCAGGAGAGAACCCTGGGGAACACCAACATTTAAGAGACTGGGAGACGAAGAGCCAGCAAAGGATACTAAGAAAAAACAATCAGACAGAAGCAAACTGGAAACCCTGGCCTCGGGATTAGCATGAGCTCCATATACTGTATAAACTATTCAACTCATACCTTGTGTTAAATCATATAAGAGACTCCAAAGAAATGAAGGCAGTTTTGAGAGAAACATGCATTTCTAAGTATGCTAAATATATACTCAGGAGGTTCTGTGGGGGTGGGGGATGTTAGAAATCAAATAAATATCTGTCAATTTTAGTTTGCTTATTCGCAGGAATATCTTATATTATATCATATGTAACCTTGGTGTTGAAGCCATGATTAAACAATTAACATTCCTTATAATCCTCAGCTGAATAATCACTCTGTTTTCAGGAGCACATTTGAAAGACATATTTAATAGATATAGATGGGGAGAAATCACTTTTATTCTCTAAAAATCCCTACGTTGGTCATTTTTAATGACAGAATTCACATTTTTAGCTAAATCAAGAATAAACTCATTGTACATAGCGGGTTCCTGCAGCTGAGTTACACAATGAACCATTTGGGTAGCAGCCAACGCCAGTCTCTCTGTTCAGTCCTTAAATTTAAAACAAGGAGAGTCTATTGTGCACAGGGCCCAGCAGGAATTTGACGCAATCTTTAAATACTTGCAGGGTGGTTCTGGCCCCTCAAACAGTTTGCCCCGATGGCCAGATGTCTGCCTCATGAACGCCGATATCTACCTATCTTCAAGCGTCTGCCCTAACAAGGGGAAGGAAACACCATCATTTCATTTCCCAATTGAAACACTGCCATCTTGCTATCTGGTTTGTGCTCTCTACGGCCAACTTCCTTAGGGCCCAAGACCTCAAGGCCCATTTGCTCACAGGCAAGCTAGCCACAGTCCTATTCCTGTTCCAGAAGTAAACCCGAGGGACATGTTTATCTTATCCTTACTGGAGAGAAGCTGGGTTAGGTGTTAAGGGTTCTTCATGTATGTTTACTGTTATAATGAGCTGGGTTTCTGATGCATGCTTAGAATTTTTTCCACCTCTAGGCTTTAAAATATGCTTAAAATTAAGAGAATTTATAAACAGGCCAATGTCTACAACTGTGTCTACATGAATACAATTAAATGGTAAATTGAAAGTTTTCTGAATACTTCTAGAAAATCCACCTTCTACTACATAGTTTATACTACAGGTACAATTTATTTTCCTCTTTAAGACTGTGAGCTCTTAAAGGGCATTGGCTATCTTTTATTTATCTTTATAGCCCCAAGACTTAGCATCATGTCTAATGTATATTAAGTGCTGAATAATTGGTTGCTGAATGGAACAGAACTAAATTATAATTCACATCCTGTGCGTGCGTGTGTGTGTGTATACATATATATATGGATTTGTACTAGCTTAGAGGAAAAAGTACAAAAATAAATGTCAAGCTAACTTGGTTAGTATGAAGTTTGAGCTTCCTGGTAGCTCAGGCAAAAAGTAAAACCTCTCAAGTTATAGAATTCCCTTTGTCTGATGGAAGGAAGCATATCCTAATTCCTTACGTGAGATAAATGGTTGCCTGATGCTAAAATTCGAAAAGGAATTCCTCTCATTGGTTTATTTACAAGGACCTTTGAGCAAAAAAATGAAAATGTTTTTCAGCACCAATTTTATAGAAGATGCAAAGCTGTTCTTCCCATGGCTTTTCCTTACGATGACTAAAAAGCTAGAGCATTACATTGCAAACGCAACTCGGTGAAGGCATGCCTGCATGTGAAGCGAGGGGGCTGGGCTAATAAGATCCAGGTGTGTAGCTTGTGTGTGCCCGACATAGGAGTGGAGCTTTGATGACCTGGAGGGATGGAGAGAGGTCAATTCTCTTAGGCTAACTTCCTCATAGAGCAATTGTCTCAGAGGGACTTGTGACAGGAACTGCATAGCAGACAGTTCAAGGTTGAGGTCACTGGCGACACTTTCTGAGTTGCTGATTGAAGGAAGAGCCATATGATTTGCGTAACAGACATGCTGTGGCTACCAGTAGGACTTAAACCATGGTCCTTCTTAAAACGAATACTGGCAAATTCAAAACACTCAGGAGGCAGGGTTAGTCATGGAGGACACACGGTTACACAGCCTCAAAAAGTCCACCATTTAACAATCCCCAAATAATTAACAGTCCAGTCCAGGTTGCCAGAGTAAATCACTGCCTTCCCATCACTGGAGGTGGGTAACTGTCAACCAGTTTTTAAATTTCTCAAGATGTAGATATGAGATCCACTGGATAGAAACCCCAACGGGACCTGAAATACATTTACACACACCTACACAATGTACTCTCATTATACACCATAGCAACTTCTGATTCACACAAAATGGTCTTTTTTACTCTCCAGAGTCTCAGTAATCCTATTAAGGAGCAAGGTATTCTTGGCAATCTCGATCAAACATTATAAACATGGGCAGAAATGAAATTTCGTCATTTCAATCAATTATAAGCTTCCTTCAGTTTGGCCAATTCTTTACTTTCCGTTCTAGATAATTGGTTGGTTCCTTAAATGGAACCTCTGTAGCTGTTATTTTCTAAGTAATCACAATTTCTCTATCATCAAGGAAATGCATTTTCCCAGTCTTTTCAGGCACAAATGACATGTCGGGTTTGTGGCTCATGACGAACAGCACCCCTTCATTACTTCAGGAAATGCAAGCTTCCCTCAGCTCGCTTCTAATGCTGTCTACAAATCAGCAGTATAATTTCGTTGAAAGACTAATTTCCTAGCAGGCTAGGGTACTGTAGTATATCTTTTTAATAAAAGTAGCCAAATAATTTAAGTTTTGAGGCTCATTTTTTTTCCTTTTATTTTATTGTGGTTAAAGTATGTGATTTAGTTATTTGTTTTCTCCCCAACTCTAATATTTTTACAGTTAATCTCCCTCAACTATAAATTGCCGGCTCTTTCTTTAATCTAATTATAATAATGATAATACCTTGAATTTGTATAGCACTTCCCAGATTTCAAAGCAAGGTCTCTCAGGTTGTTTCATTTGTTCCATACAACAACCATGTGAGTCAGCCGAGCGGCTCCGGCCTCAATCTGTCCTCTATCCGTCCCAACTCTAATGACCTTGGGTAAGCCATTTAACCTCTCTGTGCCTCAGTTTCCTCACTCTTGTTGAGCTGTGAAGAGCTATCAAATGTTTATTATGATTATTATTAGGTGCTAGTCTTCACTTCAGAGAGGGTCAGAGAAATGAAGTTTCTTTCCCAAAGTCATGCAGCAGGTACGCTTATCAAGTCTTCTGACTTCCTGTTAGAGGGTAAACAGCTTCCTGTTACAGATAGGGAATCACAGGGAACTGGATTCAATGTCTATATTTACCACTTACTAGGATGTGAAGCTGCAAACAAGCCACCTCACCTCACAGAGCCTCAAATTCCTCATGGCAAACATTGGGAAAATGCATAGTCCATAAAGTTGCTGGAAGGACTAAATGAGCACATGTATAAAGCCCTCACACAGTACCTGGCACACAGTAGGCCTTTGATATATGCCAGTTCCTCACCCGACTCGATCTTTCCACACAACTCTAGACAGGTCAAAAGACTTCAGATTTTTCAAGAACCTTCTAAGATATCCTTCTCAGTAGCATAGCACCAACTCAGATTTGAAAGCTAAAAGCTACACTAGCAGTTCCAGAGAAAGCTTTCCACCAACAACCACATCTGGGAGGGGTCAACGTTCATTTCACTCCAGGACTGGTAGAGGAGATGCAAAGAAGAGAAAGAAAATCAGCCAGGAACATGAGAGAGCACCATTTCTCCTTTCTGCCAGGAAAGTGCAGTGGGATTAGAATCCTAAGCACTGGTGCTCATGGCTAGTTTACAAACCACTGATGCTATTGGCCACTTGATCAGCTCATGTTTTAGACTTTAAAATAGCAAGAAATTTTCTGCCAACCCTGATCCACCGCCAGGAATTTTGATTTTTAATTTAATAAGCATCCTCACTCCAACCCTAGGGAAGAGTTGAGGGATGCCCCAGTCTCTACCAGTAGACCATGAGCCAGCTCTAGAACTTCTGTGGCCACTACGATGTCCAGATACTCCAAGGGTGTCCATACCAGTCCTGGTCTGGGAAGCCTTTGGAGGTACACAGCAGTTCTAGGATCCTAATATGGGGAGGGAGGAGGCATAATCCCCAGTGATCTCCCAGG